TCCTTAACAGCAACCCAGCAATGTCACTGGTCCTGCTGGTGCCGTATGCAGGTGCTTTTACTCAGTTGGTAACAAGACCCAAACCTGAGCTGCGAACAGCCAGAATCTAAAAGGCAAAACGCCAAAAAGACGTACGCTGGCAGCATCATGGAACGCATTCCCTGCTGCATTGGCAACAGGAATCTCCTGGCTTCGGCCTCCCATATCTCTGTGGTAAATAATACAACAGGAAGCGGAAGCAAGTGCGCATCCGCTGCTGCCGTTACATATCATCAACACATCTATGCCACGAACGCCGTCCCCAAAGCAAAACAAATGCGCGCGTCAGGGGCTCGGGGTACCCCGCTAATCGTCACCACTCATAATCCCCCGAGTGCCCAGCTTTGGCAGCGAGTACACCGGCAGTCAAAGCCTCTGTCTTGCTTCAGGAAGGTCCGGCGAACATCTGCGCCCATCCACCTGTCAACCCAATTCAGCCGATAGGAATTAAGGGGTACATGTTGGGGTTATATTGGGAGAATGGAAATTTAGACTATGGAAACTACTATAATTGGGTTATATAGGGATTATAGGGTATATGGCAAGCAAACATGCAGGGGATGCCAGAGTCCCGTGTCCTGGATGTACCAGCTTCCTGACCAAAGGATCTATGAAATTGACGCGGGGCCAGGCAGGCGACAATCCATGACAATCCTGCACAACATGCAAGCAGCTCACTAGCAGGATCACGGCCTTTTTACGTCAATGGATTACAGCAATCGCGAGCCTTTGGGCTGCATGGGATACATAGCGATACATGGGCCAATAATGGAAAACGAAAATGGAAGCTACTATACTATACTGTTCCACCCTAGTTCAGCAAGCGCATGGCGCTTTCAGCCGTCGAACCAGCAGTGCCTAGGAGCAGGATGGCACTCATTGAAGAACTGCCGACTTCCGAAGCGCTTAGAGCTACTTCCAAAAGCACAGCATCCATGGGAGTGTCCTGAGCTATGGCCAGTGCCTGCTGCCAAAGGTTGGCTTGATGAAATGCAGAAACAGCATTAGTGTTTGCCTGCAGGTCCAGAGGAATGCGTAAGCACCTTGCGTCGGAAAGGAGTGTGAGGGCCTCATAGGGCCGAGAGCCTTTGGCACATGCAGCAAGCGCTGCACTGTAGCTCAAAACGTCCGGCATCATGAGGGGCAACCTAATGCTGAGAATAGGCGTCCGTCGCAGGATGCAAACAGCTTCATACCACATGCCTGCTCGCGCACACATAGCGAGCAATGCGTTGCACGTGACAAGGTCTGGGGTCACCCTGCTGTGGATCATCGTGCGGGCAGTTGCCAGCGCATGATCGTTGACATAGCTGGAGCTGCAGCACGTGATCGCGGAGTTGAACTCAACAGCGCCAAGCTCAGCCGCGTGATGCTGAGCGGCCAAGAGCAATGCAAGAGCAGATTCCCAACTCTGCCCCCTATCACACGCGTTCAGGGCAGCACCACACGCCACGGCATTAGCCTGTAAGGAGAACTGTCCCAAAGTATTGAAGCGTGCCAGGGAGAGCTCCCAAAGTTGGGCAGCACCCAAAGCAGCAACGGACGCACCAAGCGTCACTATCCCAGGTCGAGGACCAAACTTCAGCATGCAAGCCAGTTGCCATTGTGCCTAAGTTTCCCAGTAACCCCATAATATTCAGCTTTAAAAAGAGCCCCCAAAATAAAAGGGAAAAAGGATACAACTGGGTACCTAGGTGCCAGATGCCACTGACTACCCTTCTCGAACGCACTTAGGGCTCCGTTGTATGTGACAGTGTCGGCGAGTAGTCTGTAGAAGGGCAGCTGGTGTGCCAGGAGATCTTGTGCGCAGCTCCACTGGTTACTCTTCTCATACAGGGTCATAAGTGAATTCCCAGTTATGAGGGAGGGCTGCATGCTCTTGGCCAACAGCCGTTGAAGTAAGTGCTGGCCATCTGCCCAACGACCGGATTCCAGCGACCGGAGGACGGAGTTGAAGGAGATGCTGTTCATGCCAACCATCAGATTTTCCAAAAGAGCCAAGGCAACTGCCCACGCACCCATGCGGCAAGCACTCAAGGCAGAGTTAAAGTGAAGTGCCTCTACTCTAACTGTTGATCTTTTCTGCATGTTAAGCAGCTCGCTCGCTTGTTGCCATTCATTGCCCTTCTCGCACGAGCTGAGAACCGCGGAGTGCGTGAAGGAATTCGGGCGTAGGCATGCCTGGAGGGACTGGAACAAGGAGAGGGCGCGCCGCCACGCGCCATTCTCACAGGCACTGACGGCTGCACTCCAAGACCTGGGTTGCTGACATTTGCTGACAAGGAACTCACATAAAGCTATTACTAGAATAAGGAAAAGCATTATTCACTATCTATCCATATTATGGCAACTTAAACCCTAAACCCTGGACACTATAGACCCTACACCCTACACACCCATATTATAACTTAATGTAAGCTCCTTAACAGCAACCCAGACACACAATATCCAGGGAGAGACGAAGGTGGCCGGTGGCAGCCATGAGGCCAAGAGCTGCAGGCCACTGGGCTGCCTTCTCGCCTTAGTTGCCCACCCAGGCCCTCAAAAGGGATCTAAAAATTAGATCCCCTAGAACCATATGGGAAATTATATAAGGATTATATAGGGTTTATAATAGGTCTATATGGTTGCCCAGTAACCAACTTTTTTTTACAGCCCCTCGGACTTTTACGTAACCAGTTTAGGGTTTGGGGTCTAGGGTATAGGAATACATACAGTTTAAGGTTTTGAGCCAACTTTGGGCATAATAGTAACCAGTTTAGGGTTTTCATTGGGTTTAGTATTTAGGGTATAAGAATACATTTTCTGTTGCGCAAGCTGAAAAAGGAACCCAGAACCCAAAAAGAGAAAAAGGGTACCACTGGGCTTCCCAGTCACAGGAACTCAAAGTTGAGTTGCACGTGATAGTCTCCAGCTCGGCGCGCTGCGACTTGATGCCATGTAAAAACTGTAGGCAAATGGCCCACTGCTTGCCCTTTTCCAGGAATGCGGCGGTGGTTCCAAGAAAGACTGGCCCAAACTCCAAGTTGAGGTCAAGAGCGTCCTGCAGAAGACCCGCAGCTGTCGCCCATTTCGACTGCCTGCCGCAGGCATTGCACAAACCTGTATTGGTAACGATGCTAATCTCCAAGCCCGCAGCGGTGAGGAAAAGAACGTCAGCCAACTGCAAAGCATGCAGCCATCTGTTGCCCCGCCCGAGCGCAGAAACCAAGGCATTGCAAAATGCCTTAGCTGCCTCTCTCCCTATGCGGAATTCTTGGGCCTTGCATCAAAGAGTCCACTCCCGGGCAAAGTGCCCAGGGTGCTACATCCTAAGCAACAGGCACAATGACATGGCGTCTTACTGCACCACTGGCACTGTCAAGCTGCAGCGTCCACACGGACACCTTCCTGTTGCAGCTCAGCGAGTACCCGAACGGCTTTATCCCAGTGGGAGCGGCGACCCTGGCTGGAGATCTGTGTTGTCGCTGCCCTGACTACAGCTCCTCAGGGTGATTTAACATAATTTGAATTCCCGATTTCAGGCCATCTTGCCTATATACACCCCTACAACCCCTATACAAATCCTGTCACCCCTATATAAACCCTATAATATTCCCTATTTAAACCATCTAAATCCCAGGCTCCCGTGGACTGTAGGCCAGAGTTGCTAGCCCTGTCCATCTGTCAAGGCTGGCCATAACAGCTGAAGAAGCGCAGCAGCAGGGAAGACTCGGAAACAGAAGCTCCGCACTACCGCCCACCCCACCCCCCAATATTAAATGCTCTCTCAATATTTTACAATATGCCACAATGGGGGAAATTTAATATTAAGGGGGGGAGATCATATTACGGGGAGGGGATTAAAGCTTCCAATCTTATCTTCGCAGGCTCCACCGTGATGGTCAGTTTCCTTTGAACCTAGATGCAGCAAGTCACCCGTGCAAATGTTCTGCATGCAAGTAACGTCATTTGAGTCTAGTGAAAATGCACACAAGACCAACAAGCTCGACCCTTGCCGCCCCTCGGCCATGCAGCATCTAGAACGACAGTTGCATAGCGGATTTTGTGCTGCAGCGATTTTGTTTTAATGGCTTTTTCACGGAAAAGGGATCAAAAGTCTAGAATGTGTTGCGAAGAATGCGGTCCGCGCCTAAAGGCTCTCCGGCATCGATTCGTCGGCATGCTATCCCCTCGATCGTGCCTTGGTTGGCATCGACGCCTGGCACATCGCGGCAAGCGAACGGGACTTTTCAAAAGCCACAAGAGGTGCTCCCTAGACCCTAGACCCTGTAGGATCGCTGCGAATGGTGAGGTTGGGAGAGCATGAATGCGACACCTGCCACCCACCACGCGGCTCCAGTCATGCAGCACAACATGGCATCTGTAAGATTGAAACCATGGGCCCCTAGTATGGGGTTTAGGGTTTACGGTGGGCCCTTAGCCCTGGGACCCTTACAGACCTACGATATATACCCTATAAGTAGCCCATGTAGCCTTGAGGGTCCCTAGAATGCCCCTGAGAGGCCTAAGGGCCGAAATTAAGGGCCCAGACTTCAAACCCTGAACCCTAAACCCTAGTATATTGGGGTCCCCCTATTTCGGGAAACAACCACAATGAGCTGGACTCGGCATTCCCGAGCCCAGGATTGGTTTGATCCCAGCATACTCGATGCGCTGCGGCTTTACTGATACCACACCATAGTATAGTAGATTGTACTATATTATACTATATCATACTATATTATAGTGTTCTCCTAGTTGGGTGCACCGCATGTGGCTTGGGAAGCAAGGTGCTGCAAATGACAAGATCTGTCTGTACTGGCTTCACCGCGCTCAGCTGGACCACCATGGCATGACCTGACAGCTGCTCTCTTGGTGCATCGGATTTGTTCTGAGGCGAAACCACTTACCAACTTCCAAAGTGCGGGCAATGCTTCGAGCATCAAATCGAGTGTCTCAGAAGTCAAGCTCCTCGCTTCGGCCGAAGGCTGGACAGCAGGAGCTGTCTGGCCATTGAGGCTCAGAAGCCGTATCTAGGCGCAGCGAAGCACAAACGAAGAGCTAGCCATCTACGCTGCTCTCACGACATCCTGTTCGGGTCCCAGGCAGACTCATCATCGGCGACCCAAAGACGGCAGACATCTCCTCAGGGCATCAAGAACAGAAGTTCCTGCAGCATCAGAGCCAGTGGCATGTCGCTGATGCTCTGCGCTCCTGGTTCATCTCGTCCATGGCCTGGTCAATCTGGGCCTGCGGATGGGCGTGCATGACAGTTCGAGCATGTGTGACCAAAGTACATGAAGAGCGCCTACCCTGGAGCTCACGGGCCCCACCTGCGTTTGCCGCATCTCCTGCTGCGCCTGGCGCATCCCCTGGCTGGCTTCAGAGGAAGAAGAACTCTGGCCACCTCTCGGGGAATGGTTTAAGGCTGGGGCTCAAGGCTTTTGGGTTCACCCGGTGTGGTTTGATTTTGGGGGGGGTGGGTCAGGGGCTAAGATTTTTGGATGCTTTCAGGTGCAACTATCACGGCCGACAAAACTGCTGCCAGTAGCACCGCCCGTGCCACTCCAAACGGCCTAACGCACCAACGGTTACGCACCCTGCTGCTTAGCTTTCCCATCTTCGGAGATGAAACATGAAGCAAAGCCCATCGCCTTTGAGCCCCGGAATGTTGGTCCACAGGCCGCGGTTCTCATCCACTTTAGTTCGAAGCTGCCCAGACTCATCCCGGACACTCTGAATGACATAGCTGCTGGAGGAGACGTAGTACCTGATGTGCTCTTCCACGAAAAGGCTGTGCTACTTCCCATCTTAGCCTTACTACGCATGCTCCCATCTATCCCATCAATTCATCAGATTGTTCTAAACGAATCGCACACCTTTGCCCTGGGGCCAGGCCCCTGCACCATGACCAGGTGATCTAGGCTTGAAGGTGGAGATCCATCAGCAATAGCGCAATGAAATGCACTGGACCGCAGGTTTTGGACGGCTGCAAGCACAAGCAATCTCGTATGTCTCATGCTGCCATTGGCTTGTATGAATACAGCCTTGAACAAGAACCTTCAGCCCTATAGAACTCTGCAGTTTTGGTGGTAGGAACCGAAGATTACCATTCGATTCAACAGCCGGGCAGCGCATCTCTTGGCATTCCATCGGCTTGTGGAGCTGAGCCTGCCCAATTTTCTTGTTGTTGCACCTGTTTCCTCTATGCTGTAAAGATGGCTTCCTCCGCTCCCCCTCCTGTAAGGTAGCGCTTTCTGGTCAAACACAACCTCGAGCAATGTTGCTGTTTGAGGCGTGGTGAGCAATTTGACACCCGATTCCATTGGGAAGTCCTTCCTTTTTTGTTCTTTATTGGACACGCCAAAACCTTGGGAAAGAGCGAAGAGGATGGCCGCCGCCAGCGCCGCTGCGCCAGCCGCAGCAAGCGGAAACTTCTTGTCCTCCTCGCCATGCGGCAGGAAATGTCTGAAAGAATATTATTACTATTATGATTACTATTACTATTACTATTACTATTATTATTTCTCCTCATCTCTCAGCTCAGGCTCAGGCCTCCGGCTTCGCTGGCTTCACCGGGACTGGCCCGGGCTTTGGGCTTGCACCCCGCAGGCGGCCGCGGCGCAGGCCCTTGCAGGGCTACATGCAGCACAAGCGTAGTCACAGACTCAGCGCATTTGAAAGTATCAACGTCAACGTCTGCCAGCAGTTATTGAAGTCAACAGCGCCCACAGCTTGAATGTCAGCCCGTCATGCTTTGACAAGCTTCAGAGTTTTTTATAGCTGCTCACCGCCCCGGAAAGTCTTAGCCTCCGCCTCTACCTTGCTCTCCGCATCCCGCGCAGCGACCAAGACAGCACCTAAAGTGCACTTAAAATCCACAAATGAAATTCGGGCAGTTCCGAGTGACGATAGAATGATGCCCTCAGAGCCGGATTGCAAAGCTGTATTGCCAACAAGCTACTGCCCTTTGCGGAATCACCATCCGTCCTTGGAAAATGCGCAAGCAACGTCAAGCTCAACTTACGCGGCCTGCTAAAAGCCATGCCGTCTTGGTCAGAGCGGCTGGCTGGCCCTGGCCACACGAGGCTGCCTGCAATTCGGTCAGTCATCCCCCTTTCTCTACAACTTTCAACTTGCCTCGCTCTGAAGCCAACAGCCACGAAGCAAGCTGCACGGAGCGCGAGAAGGCAGGCAAGCAGCCTTGGTAAAGCATCCGGGCTTTAGCGCTTTGGGCGGGAGGTACAAGCATGCGAGAGCCAAGGCACAGAACAAGATTGTGAAAGCAGAGTTTGGGCGCCTTGGGCCGTCTGAAGCCCCCCAACATAGCAGTCAGTCGCCCGAGGAGACGAAGGGCCCAGGGGATAGGGAGAAGTGGACTTCAGGTTAGGCTGTGCTCAGCATGTCTCAAAGCAGTTGGGGCTGGCTTGCTGCTACCGGAAGGCGAACCCACAAACAAGCTGTCAGTGACGTGTGGTTGCGATTGCAGCGATTGCATCGTAGCTTTGCTCATGATCTTGTTTTGCGGCCTCTTAAGCCCAACAGCTCATTCCGAGCTTGATGCAGCTCAAGTCCAAAGATGATGACACAGTCCTGCAGGAAAAGCTTGCGTGAGCCCATTGCCTCATCCCGCGCGGCCTCCCTGAGAGACTCCCAGCCAAGCAGGTCCATGGCTCTATCAGCTCCAGCTTAGATCTGCTCAGTGACTCCGTAAGCCTCTGCATGTTCTGCGCCTGCCTTCTCGTGCTTTGATGTGCTTTGCACGACGTGGTCCCTTCAGCTCTTTCCACAATGGCGAGCATTCAGCTCCAGCTTGTTCCAGAGCATGCAAAGCACAATCAAACCCCATAACCTGCGAAAGACATGAACGTCCTTAAGCGATTACGTCAGCAAAGCCCGCAAAGACTGCCGCTGTTACATGCATCCTGCTCCCGGTACTACTGCGGATACACTCAAGTTCGAACCCTCATGCTGGCATGGTCACATAGCACTCTTTGAAGGCTGGTTTGAAACTTGCTGAGAGTCTGTCATAGAGATGAGCATGCACATCTCCAGACCACGTGAATGCCTCGCGTGATGAGAACTGTGCTTGCATTGGGGTGGGAGATGTGCACGGAAATTCAACCTTTGCAGTGTTGAAGCGTGCAGAAGTGAGGCCTGGGCCTGTGCGTTCCCCGTTGCAAGTAAGAAACACTGAGCCGTCTGCTAGGAACCCAGGCCACACAATTCCGGTGTGAACGAGTACATGCGAAAATCTGCGAGAACTGTACAGTTTTTGTGAAACCAGAGGCTAGCCCAGGGCAGACTTTGAGTCAAGTGCGCAAGGCTTGGTCCATCTTCAAAAATCAATCCATCTCTGTCGTGCCATATTTGCCCAATCTAGTCCAGGAGTACCAGGTCCGTTGGTGTCTGGATGATAGCTGCCATGAAGGCATCAGCACAGCGGAGTGGATTTCTTTGCATGTGTTTGGCCAAAAGCAAAGAGCCATATCAATTGCAGAATCTGATTGAGGTTGAGCTCATGCGGTGGGATGTCTTCGCATACCTGACCAGAATGGCGGCAGACTCTCAACCTTGCTAACAATTCCTAAATATACTACAGTAGTTTCCATTTCTCTATTACCCTTATATAACCCCATTATATTATAGTAGTTTCCATTTTCTTCTCCGTTATCCCTATATCACTTTCCACCATCACTTGCAGCTTGCCACGGAGCGCCCGGCCTTGTTCTTGGTAGGTGAGCCGTGCGATGGAGAAGTCCTGAGAAAGCTGGGGACATGTTACATCAGGGTTATATTGGGGTTATATTGGGATAATGGACAATAAAATGGAAACTACCATAGTATAATAAGGGTAATGCTGCAGGAATGAGATAGGTCCAATCCCTCTACGAAACAGAATCTGCCGTGCAGGGAGGTGCTAGTTGCCTGCTGCAATGTCGCTTTGCCGGAGACTCGCACGCCTGCAGGTGGCAGAGTGCATCTGCTTATTGGTTCTTAGCAGAGAACAGGGGAATGTATTATATAGGGATTATGTAGGGATCATGGAAAAGAAAATGGAAACTACTATTTGGGTTTAGTATTCAAGGATGTAGGGAATACATTACATAGGACTTAGATAGGGATTATATTCCCTCATTGCCTACTTTGAACCAGTAAGTAAGTCTAGATCACTTCGACCCCAGAAGCCGGCTTCGCAGATTCTTGAATCATGAACCGGATCCTACTGGACAAGCCCGAAAGGACCTAAACCCTAAACTCCTAAACCGCTAAACCCCAATACCCGCAACCCTAAACCCCTAAACCGCTAAACCCCTAAACCCTAAACTCCCCTCAACCCCTCAACCCTAAACCTACAAGACCTGTAGACCCCCATCTTGAGAGGTTGCCTGCTCCGGGGGTGTTTTGCAGCGCAGACGCCTTCAGTCAAACGGGCGGTGTCCCAAAATCAGGGGTACATTTTAAAGTGAATTATTAGGGCTATATAAGGGTACAGGGATGAAGGTTAGGGTTGAGGATTTCCCAAAATTAGGGGTACCTTTTTGGGGGCTCCCAATAAGAAGGACTAGAGTATTTCAGGGTCTATGTTGGGTGCCAAGTCAGTGTAGTCAGTATAGGTAAGAAGACGACAAAAACACCTGAGGGCCACCTCCCAACAACAAATGAGCTATAGTCTAAACTCCTGGTATCCACCTTAATAACCCCTATAGTAGTCACCTATATAATCTCCTAAATAACACCCTTTGAGGAGTTTAGACTATGGCTCAATTTTTGTTTGCGGAAGTTAAGCTGCTTGTAAAGAGCATGCAGCGCGGCCGACCTTGTTGGTGCCTGTGGTGTAAGGGCTTCATCATCAGCAGCTGGACCTCATGTGCTCCGCATCTCGGGCTCAAAGAGTGAATGCCTGACCTGGTGGACTTTTCAACCTACCCCTCGTCTCCCCACATGTAGCAAGGTAGTGAAAGGTGTGATGATCTCCGAGGTAAGGCTCAAGCCTTCAGTCGCACGGGCACGCCTGGATGGAAGGCTTGCAACAACCAAAGAATTCGGGTGGAGCTGCCACTGCAATGCTCATCTTTCAGGGGCAGAAGAAGCACGAGTAAACGCAAAAAGTGCAACGCAGCATCCAAGTGATGCTGTGCTGCAAGATCTGCTCTCGGGGCATGAGAGTTCTTGGCTTGCCACATCTGCGTCTTTGATGCAGCTTGCGGCATCCAGCTAATTCTTGAATCGAGGTGGGATGTCAGGCTCTGCTATGTCCAACTCAACATGCAGCAGCGCTGACGGAGATATACAGGCATCCCACGCTCACGACAAAACTTGACTCTTGGGATCGTGCATGTGAAAAGGGGGAAAATCGAAGGCAGCCTCACCAGCTGACCCCCCCATTGCAGAAAGCCCGAACAGCTGAACAGTTTCAGCAACACGTGGTTTCTTTTTGTAGGGCCCTTTTGGTACCTTGAGGTCTTAGTGTTCGGGGTTCGGGCAGGCTTCCTATTACAAAAGTGCCGTTTTCATTTGTTGGATGGCGCAACTTCTGGCTCCAGGTCTTGGTCCTGTGCGGCTGGACGGCTCGAGCTTAAAACCTCACATTCACCTTGTTCCATTACACTGCTCTTACTTGGACCACAAACCTGAACTTTCCAGCACGTGCATGGCATTGCATGGCGGCACTTGACAGTTCAAGTTGCTTTTGGGTGCAGGCTGTGCTTGTGGTGTCCTTCCCCAGCGCCGCAGCAACCAGTTGCTCGCTGACGGTCCAGAGCTGGTCTTCAAGTGGAGGGCCTTGAGGTTTGACGGGATGACGGATGTCCAACATGCAGATCAGAGATTGGGAAGGTTGATGAGTGATGAGGACCACAAGGTACGACAAGCTCAATGGTAAGTCAACCCACGCCTTGGAGGTCCGCCAGAGCACATCGCGCATAGAAGCTACCAGACGTCACATCAGCTGCAGTGCAGTACGCCACTGTGGCCTGGGCTTTCGCGGCGCATGACACTGAACAGCAAAGAGGTGGAGCCTAATCACACAAAGCCGGGGCCCTGGCTGCTCCCTGCTCTGGCGTCTGGGCCCTGCTTATGGCCTTGAAGATGCGACGAAGAAGCCATGGCAGGTGACGGTCGATGTCCGTCGCCACTTCGCCTCAGCACGACATAGCCAAACTTGGACACAGTCTCCTCATGCGAGCGTGTTCGATCCTTGCCTGGTGTGCAGCTGACCGCCTCAATCTTGCTTTGCAGAGACCGCGCGAAAAGAACATTGCAGTACCTTAGCAGTTTCGACAAGCTTGCTAGGGCACCTGAGCTATAACAAGCGAGGGCACCATACGCTCAGGTCTCACAGCCCAGGTGCTTGGAGGCCAGATAATTGCCAATGAAGCTATAATGGCCTGAGCAGTTGCATGAGCCAGCAAGCTGCCTTGTTTGCTGACAATCTCGTAGGTTTGGTGGATGCGGCTCAGCGCGGTCCGTGCGGTTTGCGGAAGTAACACCCTTTGGGTGAACTACACCTGCTGGCCCACTCAAAGCAGCAACCTTGCCTTTCTTGGTTGTTGACTGGCATGTGAGGTCTGCATGCATTATTTCAAAAATGTTGAGCTTGATTTTGCCCCAGCAGCTCGGACTATTGATGTTCTCGAGGTCCACTTGAAGAAACTTCCTGACATCTCCCCCCTGTGCATGCAGACCGCCCGGAAGCCATGCGCAGGAGCAACGATTCTGCCAAAAGACTGACCCACTCGCTGCAGGTCGGATGAAACCATGACCTGAACATAAGCTAGCTGTGCAAAAAAAGTCTTCAAAATGACCAAAATGGCTCCGTGCTGATGAAGTCCAAGTTACCACTCGCATCGGCTTTGTGGCTGCTTTCACAAGCTTGGAAACCAAAAGGAAGTGAGCCAGATGGTTCCTCAGGGTGATAGTCCGGCGCTGAAGACTGCTTTCTTGCAGTGTCTTAGCAGTTCAAGGACGGGGGGCACAGCGAATTGACTTTCGTATCCTCAGCTGCCCTTATTTCAAGCAACTTACGAGCAATCTGCAGCTGAAAAGTCCAAGTGTCCATCCTTAGTAGGCGTCCATCTCGGAAGCGTTGCGATGCCAGCACAGCACACAATCACCTGGACAAGCGATCTCCAAGACGACAGCGACTTTTTGGGTTGATTGATTTCATACCAAGGCGCATCTGGTGGTGCCAGGGCCAACTTTTCACTCAGCGCTTGGACTTCCACAAGGCTGCTCAAATCCGCGACAGCAGCTTCGCCTCAGGAGCCCTCTTTTGACAATCGTGGTGCAACAGCCGATGGCATCACCAGAAATTTCTGCGGTGCAGCCGGATCGCAGCGTTTCTGCGCGTCGATTGCAAGCTTTGCACGCCTAGGTTGCGGAATCAAAGACTTGCCTGCATCTGGCGCCGCAGAGCACTGCGATGCACGCTGGTCGCACATGAGATTTGCTTCAAATGGAGCAGGACAATGCAAATGCACTGGAATTGCCTGTTGTCTGAGTGCATAAACCATCAGAATGCGTGAACAACATTTCTAGCTTGACAAGCTGAATGTAGGGCAAGCGGCATATTCTCCACTCGCTCAAGGCTTCGCCCATGTGCAAGGACCCGGCACTCTGAGCCTCAAGCCGGAGGCAAAGAAGCGTAAGTGCGGGTTCTACTAAGCTGGAGGGTCAGATGAGCCATGCTGGTCTCAATACCACATTGCTAGGTCCCACACACTTTAGGAGGGCCTCCGTCAAAGCCAGGCCAATGCCATTGCAGGCGCCAGTGACAAGGACCTTTGCTTGGGAAGCAGAGCGATGAAAGAAATCCTGAGTATGGCCCTTGGAAAGCCCTTGGCACATGCTCAGATCGACCCACACACTGTGATGCCGGCCGTCTTCCCCGCAAGCGATTCGCCGTGCTTCACAAGAATCTCTGCAGCTGTCGGCGCATGCTTCGGGTGTCGGCGACTGAGCCAAAGGGCCATGCTGCCAGCAGCCTGCGGCAAGGAAGAATGCACATCTTTTATGGCTGTCTGATTTTTGAAGCAAGCTCAGGCGCTGGCCACGGCAGCTGCGGTGACGGCAATTGTAGATTCCATGCTCAAAAATTTGCTACTACAAACGTCTGCTGTTTTCAATATTGCGTGCCTAGATTCATTTTGACTGGTGCTGCAAGCCACTGCAAATGCTATAGCTGTATATAGCTGTACACTGCTGAGCAATGCCGCACAGTCAACAAACTCAGGTGAGTTAAGTAGTCGCTTCCCAAGTCTTGCCACCCTTCACCGCAATTACTCTGCAGTAGCCGATGGCCTTGGCGGTGTCACAGGAGCATCGAGTCCTGCGCCCGCTGCATTCCTTGGCCCGTGACTCTTGGCCACCCTCCAGACGAAAAGAGGAGTGTTGCTGGCTGAGGGGCACGAGTGCTTCGTAGGCGGCTTGAAGTCGTCGGAATGCTATTGGATCGCCACCCTATTCAAACAAGGCGGTCAAAGCCGCTTTTTGCGAAAGCCGGGGCCGCACCTTGTCCGGATGGTGCTGCCTTGCGAGTTGACGAAACGCACGGCCAGCCTGCAATGATGGATTGGAAAAAAGCAAGGAAAGCCCCCGCATGCTGACCCTGCAAGGCCCTGGCCTCACGGGCCCCTGCTTCTGGGCCAAGGCCAAGAACTGCGCGGTGGTGTGCGGAGGCCTCAGGCGCCCAGCACGGAAATCATCGTATATCCCTAGTTTACCCTGGATCCTGGCCTTGAAGGCTCCGGGAGCAAAGATTTCGCTGAGCGGCCGCCAAGCGTAGCGGCCACAGCCTTCCCCGCGCAGAAGCGCCTGGCAAAGCACTGGTCGGAGCTGGCCTTTGGGAATAGCTTACGGGCATGGCAGTCCTCGCAACCCTCCATCAGCAGCACTCTCACCGGTACAAGCCCGTCTCCCAGATCAGCCTTGTCGGAAAGCTGTTTCAGCTACTTCCAGGTCATCAAACATTCATGTCGGAAGAAGGTGTTGACTTCTGACATTCAGTTGGCGGCTCGTAGACAACAGCGAAAAAGGAACCAGCCCTCATCCGCAACCCGAACACTAAACAGACCTCGGCATCAGCACCGAGTGCGGGCAGGAAGCCGTCAGCTGCCTCAGAGCATGGAAAAGAGGCACACGAATGAACATTGCAGAGCCCATGCTCCGGGCCTCAGCGCTTCGCACTGACGCTTCCCTCGCACCTCACAAAGATCAGGCATGGCGTCACTTTGCTGTGGCATTGCTAAGGTAGTTTCCATTTTCTTTTCCATTATCCCTATACAACCCCAATATCTCCCTATATGACCCGAACAAATACCCTAGTATAACCCCAATACATACCCTATCATAATATAGTAGCTTCCATGTTCGTGTCCATTATCCCTGTATAACCCCAAAATATATCCCTACATAGCCCTACATATCCCTATATAACCCCAATAGATATTTCTGTATAACCCAATGTATACCGTATCATAACCCCAATATATACCCAATTCTGAATCCAACATATACCCTATTATAACCCCAATATTGTAACCTTAATATATACCCTGTTTCAACCCTAATATATACCCTATAATACCCCAATATATCCCTAAACCCTAAACCCTAAGCCCCAAACCCTATTATAATACCGTTTTCCATGCACCCAAAACTCCCTGACCTGCAGCTCCATCGGATTCGACTCCACAGGCCTGGCAAATGAGAAATATAGGGTTTAGGGTTTATGGTTTACTATTGTTACAGTTACTAGTAATCATGTTATGAGTAATATTAATATATCCAAAAGTATTAGTATGCTTAATATTATTTTTGTATTGGTATGAATACTACCAGTATTCTTACTTACTGTTCCTGCATTGACTACCAGTGTTCAATATTGGGTTTTAGGGGTGTTACCCCAATAATGGAGAAAAATGGAAAATGAAATGCAAATTGGTATTACATAGGGGTTTATAGGGATTAGTGTTTAGTGTTCGTACCGCTTGCATTTGCTGATCATGCCATTATAATCCGCTGTAGCTGTCCAGCCTTGGCTGCCCGACGCTTGATGCAGGATGCAAGCAGCACGAAAGCCTGGCTGACTTCAATGCAGGGAGCACTGGAGCTACCACCCGGCCAAATAAGACAATGAGATTTCCTCCAAATCGCTTGTCCTCTTTCCACTTGCCAAGTCGAACCTCCTGTGGCTCTGACCTATGCTGTGCTGCACTTCTGGCAACGTAATTTTGGCGATGTCATATCAAGGCCGTCTGGGCTGGGTGACCAAAAGCATGTAATTAGCACAAGGTCCTGCTTTTGTCCAAGCAGGACAGGAACGGGCTCAGGCAAAAGACTTTACATGCGAGCCTCAGCAGCGTCTCAAAGCAAAACCAGGAGGCATCTGCAGGCTCCCCTCCCATCAGATGACCAACGGTCATAAATACTTATCACTCCAGCTGCTTTCAAGGATAGATCGGACCGAGCCCTGATCGTCGAACTGCACCGCACCCCTGGCATGCTGGGATGTACTGCCATGATGCGGCAGGAGACCAGCCGCACCATTCAGCGCATACCAGGAGTGGAGTCTCCCCGGTCTGCTGTCCGGGGGCACAGGCCTGGCATTGCGTGATGTACTGCCAGGAGGCAGCGGGGGACCATCCACACCAATCGGCACATCCTGGCAGCGGTGCAGCAGGGCCTTCAATTGGCTGCACCTGCCCCGAGCAAGCACTGCAAGCTGTGACATATTGCATCGAGGAGAGTGGCACCCACTTGCACCAGTTTGCACAGGATGCGGCGCCACCAGGGGTGTTTGCGGAACCAGCATAGCCACGGCACTCCGGGATGTACTGAAGGCTTGCGAAAGGGACCGTGGCGCACCAGGTGGGATACCCAGCGACCTTGACCTTGAGACCAGTCTTCTCTCCGGCATTTGAGCTAGCGCTGCCGGCTGTGATGTTGGTATCAGCAGCCACGCCGGGCAAAAGCAACAGCAGCAAGAACGACGAAGCAGTCATGGCGAGGGCCCAGTTGCTCTTTGTTCAGATCAAGTAAGCCTCCTGTGTCTTGAGCCTTCTGTAGCAATTGAAGAATACGTCGGAAGCCATGCACTAGAGCGCAAGCAGCCCGAGGCTGATTATTCCTGAATGCCGTGCCGCCCTCACCACGTCCCTGCCAGGCCTTGAATTCAGAGGCTGCTCCAGCCTGCCCAAACGCATCCCTGCCACAGCATAATCCAAAGCATGCATAAAGGCTCCCAGCCTGCATGTGAACATTGCCGGGAATGTCTGGCCTGGGCAATCAACTCTTCACATGCATTGACTTCAAACAGATCTGGCCTGGAAGACAGGCACCTTGTAAGCTTACGCGAAGGAGATTGAATCTGCAGCCATCGGCTGCAGTGGCAGCCGTAAGCTCGTAACATGTCGGCAAGAGATCGGAGCAGCGCCAGTATGTGCGGCTCCTGGAGCTCGATTTTCAAGGTGCGGGAGAGACAGGAGGGAGGAAGGCTGACAGAGCAAAGAAGTCAGGATGCCTTAGAAGAGGGTGGGACCGTGTAACTTTTCCCGGTCTGATAGTCACAAAAGGATTCCTTGAGATGGACAGCCTTAACTTAGTTTAAGGTCCTTGAATCCATATATTACCCCAGCTTCCATTTCATTATCCGTGTTATTTTCAATGTGATTCTCCATTATAGGGAGATAATGTAGTACCCTAAACCATAGTTTCAGCTCCTTGGCATCTGCCGCCTTCAAAGTGGTGCAGCTGTGCGCAGCAGCCTTGTACAATGAGCTTCTTCAGAGGAAGCTGCATACAAACCCCCATGATCCCCTCAGTACAGACTCCAAACAAAAAAACTAAACTTCTGACCTGAGCACTAATTGTCCATGTTACCGTTTCAAGGGTCACTGTCCCAGAATGTCCCAGACCCCTACGTCATCACTTTGGAATCCCTAGTCGCATCTCTCGGATCTTCAGAAGTACCCCCAGAAGCAGCCCTTGTAAGAAAAATGCTCCAACTTAGTGAGGAGCTATGGCCAGGTCAAAGGGCAGGGCATAGTCCGGCAAGCCTGGAGAACTCCAACAAGCCAGCTCTGAGGGCTTTCTGTGAGGGGTTACACAGTGATTATGAGCGGCCGCAGCAGCGTAGCAGTCACAGTCACAGTAGCAGCAGTACCAATTGCAGCGGCAAAGCAAGCAAGCCTTTACATAGAGTGGACCACCAACCCCATGGGCTGAGGAACCGGCGGCCCAAGCGAACTGCACCAGCATAGAAAACCGAGTAATTTTGAAGCAGAGAGAGGCAAGCCCCACTGATCTCCTGACTTTGGTTCTGGCAAAAATTCTTGAAACACATGCCCCCGCACCCTTGCTTGCTCCGCTCCTCCGCCAGGGGCGGGTCATCTGTAGCCGTCTGCATCAGCATGCGCTGAAGGAGGGAAGGCACCAGCGCCCTGTTCCAGCAAGATGCAATCATTTGCAACGTGCAAGCGGCCTCTTTCAACAAACATGCTCCACAAGGCACATGACATGACGTCGCGCTTGTGTGGTAGCTTGTGTAGACTGCTAGCATTCACGCCTTGCATCTGTTTGGGCAGCATTCATATGCGGAGGTGTGGCCAGGGAGGCCAGGACCTCAAATGAAAGTTGCACTCAGTGGAGCCACGTGACAAAGCCTTGACGAAGTCGGGGCTCACGCAGCTGACCAGACGCGTGCGTCGCGACCGCTGCAAAGTCGACAAACGCGGCCTCAGAGTCTCGGGCAGAACTGCAACCTTCAAATCGTTGCACATCACTCCGAACTCATGGTAAGCTGCCACCCATCCTCCAGGTGTCCTGCGTACGTCTGGAACCAGGGATGCAGCTACCCCTTCTGCTGCGTCGTCATCCGCATCGCTGAGTCCTCACTGAGGATGTGCTACACTGTGGTGTTTCACAGCCCTACATGGTTCACTGCGGCAAACTGTTTCAATCAGGAACATTCTCCCGTGACCAGGCTAGCAACAAAGAGTGCTATTCACCATCAAGCTGGTTGGAGTTCGCTGGAACCCAAGATTGCTCGGTCTCAATACAAGGGTTCAGCACATACTTCTTACCCCCGAAACTAGAACCACTCAAATAATTTGCAATACGGACGTCCTTGGCCCCAGGGGCGGTCCATCAACTCTGAGGCGGAGCGGTCTCCCGCCTCCCAACCTCAAACAGCAGCTTCTCTGCCCACACAGATTGAAATGCTCCGTTTCTTATGCAATGGGGTTGGTTGATTGATGGTCATGATACGGAGGAGTTGTGCTCGAAGCCGCCATCCAAGTTGGTCAGCTTGCTCGGCTTGGGTGCTGAAGACTCAATGCCCTTTTAAAGAACTTTTTTCAGCACGAGGGAAGTGGGATAGTTTCTCTGAAGCTGGGCTCCGCGCGATCAATGAGCTCCCGTAAGGTGACTACAGCCATGGTTTGGTGGAAATGGAAATGATACTCGAGCAGCTGCAAGCACCACCAATCTTCAACCAGCGGTACACCCTACAAAATCATTGGCACTAGGATGTAAAGTATCCGAACGTGCGAGTGGCAGGGTGCCTGCAGCTGCAAGGGGCAGAAATTGCCCTTCCAATGTACAAGGAGAGCTGTAAGCCGATACCACAGCAAGTCACGTCAGTTGCGCTCTAATGGACATGCTGGATTGCTGTTCTTAGCTTGTGGCACGTCTGCTACAATACCAACACAAGGTTTGGGGCATAGACATTCCACCAAAGCCAACGAGTATTTTTCCGCAGCGCATCTAGCTCGAAGGGCTTGGCGCGCGAGGTCAGCCTTGCTCGACCTGAGTGCAGTGACACCTAGCAACTCATTTGGAACGATGCCTTACGTAAACAAGCAGAACAGAAGGTTCCTTCAATCGATCCCCCCCCTCGGCAATCGAAGTCTGAAAGATAGCTTGGGGCGTGGCTACTTCCTCGAAGAAGTAGCGCCCGCTTGACTCCTGCCAGAACCATCGCTGGCCTGCTCGACAGTACATATGGTCCAGGGGACAGGAGGTCAAATGGCTAAGCTAAGCGCAGGAGAAGCTTCAAAATGTTGTCAGAGCGACCACGGCATTAGGAGAATCAGGTCACGAGATGCTGTTGCCTTCTTCAGTGAAGAACATCTCCCAGCCGTCTGCCAGGCTGTCTGCCCATAGAACCTGCTAAAAGTTCAGATCACCACCCTGGGCCACTGGGATCCAGCTTTGACAACAGACCTTAACCGACCCGCCGCTTTTTTCACCCGCTGAATCTCACTGTTTTGGGTATCTGCATGCACACTGCCTCTCGGCTGCCTGATTCCTGAAACTCCTTCCTGGCTCGGCGGCGAAAACGATTCAAGGCAGAAGGCACTTGCATGGCAATCGTCGCTGCGTCACATCGCGGCAGAGAATGTTCTCCGGTGGCCGGTTACCTCACTTCTTTCCCGGCAGATGACATCAGTTAGAAAGTACTGCAGCTGTTGCAAATTTGGCCAGACGCTTCAGGCTGTGCCCTGCTTCTCCATGAGCTTTTTGTGCTCCTGCCGAGAACTTAGAGCAATATGAACGATGCATGAGCGAGAAAACGAGAGGAAGCACCAGCAGCGGCGGCGGCACAGCAGAGACATGTCAACATACCGCTCTACGTGCGCTG